AGTCTAAAATGCCCCCCCCCCCTCCCCCCCCTTTGGCCATGGATGTCGAGACAGTTCTGGCTCAAGAATGTTAAATATTATTGAAAACTTTAAAGCAGCAAAATAGTTTGGACCTGTCTTGAATTTGAGATATTTCTGATAGCCGGCTCTGTTAATACATTTCAGCTTGAAATAGCTTAAGCTTAATGGTTTTTGAGCATGATTGCATTAGACATGAGGTATGGCCGTAATGGAGTTTGTCTGTCTACATACCATTCATGCTTTGAAGGGTGGTGGATCACAGCGTGAAGGAGGACTGGGCCCTGCACCTCCCTCTACTGCTCCATGCCTGTTTCCTGGGTCAGTAGAGCCCCTGTGTTCTGTTCTCATCACAATTTGGGGCATTTTATCAGGGATTACACCCTCTAGATTAAGGCTGCAGTGCTTGAGTCAGGTGTGATCAGATGAAATGTACTGATTTTACTGTAGTACATGGTATTTTTTATCCAAAATGGATTTGCTTTTGTCATTTTTTTTAATCTAATTTTATCTGAATCATTGCATCTCTCAGTGTGTCTTATGACTGTAACTATGTGGCTTGCTATGAGAACAGTGTTGTCAGTGAAAGCAGTAGCTGCTATCTCCTGAACATGTAGGATGGACCAACCTTATCTTTTTTAGAAATATGTGAAATACTTGTATCCCTGCGGATAGGGAACATTATTCAGTTGAAATAAAAACAACATTTAGCTGTTGGAAGACTCAAAAAAACAAAGGCTAGAACCAGATATTCCCACGTATCCTTTCCATAATCCCCCCAAATGAACCTAAACAATAATGAATGAGTGCAAGTACAAATGTGAACCTCTAACTTTGAATCTAATTTTATCTGAATCATTGCATCTCTCAATGTGTCTTATGACTGTAACTCTGTGGCTTGCTATGAGAACAGTGTTGTCAGTGAAAGCAGTAGCTGCTATCTCCTGAACATGTAGGATGGACCAACCTTATCTTTTTTAGAAATATGTGAAATACTTGTATCCCTGCGGATAGGGAACATTATTCAGTTGAAATAAAAACAACATTTAGCTGTTGGAAGACTCAAAAAAACAAAGGCTAGAACCAGATATTCCCACGTATCCTTTCCATAATCCCCCCAAATGAACCTAAACAATAATGAATGAGTGCAAGTACAAATGTGAACCTCTAACTTTGAGAATGTGGCTCTTTTTTAGGTATGGACCACTACCGCCCGGAGGTGTTTGAACACTGTAAGAGGCTTCTCTTGCACCTTCTCATCACGTTATCTTGCAACAACAATTTCAGCCTCATTGCCTCTGTTCTACTAAACACCAGAGATGCCAACAGCAACAAGAGCCTGACTTTCAAACCCATCCACCAGCCTGAGTTCTACACAGGTACGAGACGTAACATTTAAATATGTCAAAAAATGTGATGATCAGGATAATACGGTCATTTATGTCAATTGTTTTTAAAATGTATTTATCATTTATTTATTTATATATGATGTAGAGGTCTACAAAATCCATGTATCAAGTATGATACATATAACTTTATAAGGTTCAAATAAGTACTTTGAAACTATGCTGCAGCTGCATTAATTTTGCAACTACGTTTTTATATAACTGTTAGACCTGGAAATGAAGGGCAAATTCAATGATGAATGCTTTGACACTTTGTGAAGCTCTACATTTTATTAAATGTTGTGAAATTCTGCCTTCAATAAGACAAATTTAGCAACTTTTCATGAATCCTGTTTATCACACCCTCATTGCATGAACACTTACTCATTGGCTTTGGCATTTGACACATAGCTTTGAGAGTGCAGTCATGTTGAAATTCTGTGGAGGGGTGGAGGGTGAGAATTCTTATCTGTGCAACTTTTGGAGGTGCAGCCAAAAACAATTATATATACACAGATCATCTAAAGGTCTGATTAGAGCATTCCTATGGACTATTTTTATCTTCTTGCTCCAAAGGGACCATCTGTCGGACCCAGGACCCAAGACGGTGGTCTCCATGCTGTTAAAGCATGACTAGGCAAATTCAAAATGATGCCGATAAGATACCCCAACCCCTATCATAGCAGCATAGTGATTGAAGTATTGTTCTTTAATGTTCTTTGATTTGGCTCATTTAGGAATGTTTTCACCCTATTTTTTTGTCTTGCTCAAATATTTCAGTTGAGTAAGCTAAAATGAGGGTTCATCTTCAGAGCTTGTTCCTTCCCAAACATTTTCACTTACCCTACATGTGGTGTTCAGGTGGTGTGGACTTCTTGCGGAATGGCCAGGCATCTCCGGTTCCAGATTCTGGCCTCAGTTCCTCCTCTGCCTCGTCCAGCCTGAGCCTTGGAGGCAGCAGCTCCAACCTGCCTCACCTGGCCCAGGAAGAGGTGGAGCAAATGGAGAGCAGCACTGAAGATGACGAGAAGAGCAGCAAACTCATCGAGTTTCTCACTACCAGGTACAAGAACTTATTCTTGTGGTCATATTTGTTTTTGTTTGTTATTTTTTAAAGAAATTAATACTTTTATATTGAAAATAACTTCCTATATTGAAAGTGCTTAACTATTAAATACATTTTAATAGGGTCCAGATAGCCTCCTATGTGTGAAATTTGCAATGTTACTTGTCTTGTTCTATAATTAAAATGAAAGGTCATTTCGTGTTAATATTCCAGAGCTGTTCAGGAACTGATTCAGGAAATGACACATCTGATACGTCTTACATCTGACATCACTCAAGATGTAACAGACTTGTATGTTGCATTTCATCAGTCTACATCAGAGCGGTTCTCGCTGGGGTGTTGTTTAAAAGGGCGTCCGTCTGATGTTGGTGCTGGTGTTGGTTCTTTCAGACTATGTTCACACTGCAGACAATTCCAGACTGGTTTTCAAATCCCATCTTTAAGACTGGAAACACTGTTATTTGCTCATGATCAAGGGGATCTGTATGGTATTTGGAGTATAGCTATTTTCTGCCATCATCTTTGGTTGTCATAGTAATGAAGGCATTTGCACACTACCAAGTGACGTTCTTTTACAGTAACTGGAAGTAATGAAGCAATTACTAGAAATATTGATAACTGAAAGTAATGAAATGATTATTATGGTATTAACAGCTACTGTATGGTCAACAGAGAAGAGCAGTTGGATTTGAATTGGACATGGAAAAAGCTGGATTTGAGTTGCCAGTGTGAACAAGTTTATACAGTATGTACAGGATGGAAAAACAACCCTTTTTCACTTAAATATTGATTCAAAATATTTCTCGCCTCATCTCTAAAAGGTTTCATGCATGTTTATCATGCATGCTTAAAATATTTAATGTACAGCAATTGATGTCTGGTTATTTAGTTTATTTTACATTTTGATTGATGAAAGATCAACTTTTAAGAAACTGTTTGGTTTGCAGGTAAAATTGTATCTTTTGGCCTATTCTGCCTATTCTGCCATCTAGTGGCAGTTTTGGTCACAAGCAAGTAATAATCAAACATATCATACTGCTGTCAAGATGAAAGTAGCTCTTCCTGTCATTTACAATTTATACTGCATATGTAAGAGATTATATGAATATTTGTGTGGTTTCTTTAGACCTTTTGGACCATTGTGGAGCCATGAAGACATCACTCCAAAGAATCAACACTCAAAGAGTACCGAGCAGCTTACCAACTTCCTGCGACATGTAGTTTCTGTATTCAAAGAGTCCAAATCAGGTAAGTCACATTTGTCTTTAGTCATTCCAGTCATTCCACCTTAACAGGGTGCAGCTGGTGAATTTTTATTGTCTGTTTTGTTTTATTTTATTGACTGTTTTTAAGTTTTGTCCTTGTGTTTGCACGCCACGTGTTCTGTCTGCTTGTAGACATTAGGCTTGAGCAGCAGTTGAGTGAAGTGGCATTGCAGATGGCTCTGTGCAGCTCCTCCAGACATTACGCTGGACGTTCCTTCCAGGTGTTCAGAGCTCTACGGCAGCCCCTCTCAGCGCTGGCTGTGTCCGACCTGCTTTCACGCTTGGTGGAGGTAGTCGGGGAGCCCGGGGAGGAGGTTCAGGTGAGCTTCTGGTTCCTTAATGACAGTTCTGACTGATTCAGTGAGCGAAGAAACTTAGAATGCATCTTCTCCACAGGGTTATGTAATGGAGCTTCTCCTCACTCTTGAGTCAGTGGTGGATAATCTAGCCGAGTGCCTGAAGAACAATGACTTCTTTGTCATACTACGGTAAGTTCCCATCATACAACATTATCTATGTAAAGCCTGACATATGAAATAATCATCAATAGTCTGAAAAATCTAGTAAAAAAAAAGAAAACGGAACAGTTTATTGAACCTTTAGACAATTTTTTTTTTTTTTAAACTAAAAAGGTTTGCATATGTGTTTTTTACTTGTTAAAACTATCAATCAGTTGACAGAAGGCATGTAGTAGTAGTAGTTTTCAATAAGTTTTGATAATAATTGTTTATTATTCAGAACCCTTTTGCGTATGAAATATGAGTAGGCTTTATAGGATTAAAGTCTTCTTCTAACTTCAACATCAAAAGTCCAAGAGGCTTCGTTGCCTGTTTGTAATCAGTCTGTGTTCCTGCAGGGCATCTTCACCAGATCTTCCATCCAGCAGCAAGTTAACACTAAACCGTAAAAGCACCAGTCAGCTGGACCTGATCCCAGGATCAGGCACTGCTTCTGAGCGAATACGCCACCAGCGTAGCTACTCTGTACCCAAGCGCTTTGGCGAGGTTGAGCGTTCCTCTGAGGTTCCCCGGAGTGCCACCTTGGACCGCATCCACCTTCATCAGAGCAATATCTCCAAGCTCCGATCCCTGTCCTCATCCTCCTCCAGAGACAACGTGGTCTCCACCGACCCGACCAATGCCAACCATCCTCGCAACCTGCTGGCCAGCATTTTTTGGGCAGTGGTGTCACTCATGGAGTCAGACTTTGAGTTTGAGTACCAGATGTCCCTCAGGTTGTTAGGGAAGCTGCTAGGCCACATTTCATTGGATAAGCAGGAATACAGAGAGAAGCTGGAGAAGATCCAGATCCAGTTAAAATGGAAGGAGTTCTCTGGGCTTCAGCAGCTGCTTCTGAAGGGCTTCACCTCTGCAAACACTACAGAACTCACCTTGGAGATGTTCAGCCAGCTCACGCCCGTCTCACGCCTACCTGTGGTAGACACCTCACAAGTCATAGGTAGACCTTTTTGTCTCTACTACCAGCTAAATGTATCTTTCTAACATAATTCTCCATTAATCCACCAAAATTCTTGTCCATCCTTCATTTTAAGTGGGATTATGAAAGCAAATCTGCTATTACCTTTCAGGTTTCCCATTAAACGTGCTCTGCCTCATCCCCCATCTTGTGTTACACTTTGACTCACCTACTCAATTCTGTAAGGACGTGGCTGAGAGAATTTCCCAGGTCAGTTTCTGTTACTCTGACCTTCAACCGCACTGTAAATGCACTTTTATAGCTAATCGGAGAATCTGCATCACATTTGTTTGCTGAAAATCACTCAATTTGATTGACAGGTTTGCCTTGAGGAAAAGAACTCCAAGCTGTCCAACCTTGCCCATGTGATGACATTGTACAAAACGCACACCTATACCCGTGACTGCTTCTCTTGGGTCAATGTGGTGTGCCGCTACCTGCATGAAGCGTTCAGTGACAGCACACTCAGCATGGTTACTTACATGGCGGAGGTAGGAAGACCACAAATAAAAGTTACTCTTACGACATTTTAAATTTTAAGGAAAAAAAGTATGAGAACAAGACTGGAATGTGAACATACACATACATTGTGTTCAGGAAAACTTTCTAATACTTTCCATGTTTTGTAAACAGTTGCTGGAGAAAGGATTACCCAGCATGCAACAAACTCTTCTGCAAATCATCTACAGTCTACTGAGTCACATGGACCTGAGTGCTATTCAAGCCAAACTCTTCAACATGGAGGTTCTAACAACCATAGAGAAGTTTGTTCAGGTGTGACTCCTTTAACTTATCATATACAGAATGTATTTATGGAATTTGTTCCACAGCTTTTATTAAAATGTAGTCATTTACAGATGCTTTTGACCATAAAGACCTACAATACAATGTTATTTTATATACTATTATGAAAAATACTGGTATTTTATATACTATTGTAATATTTATTTATATTTTGAATGAGCTTGAATTAGCATGTTCAGTTATCTTTTAAATTCACTGTTTAACTTTGTAATAATGTTGTTAATTTTTTTTAAGTTTTCTTTTTTACATTTTTTACCTTTTTCAGTTTTTGTCATTTTAATATTTTAAATTCAACTTATTTTATTTTAGTTAGTTGCCAAAGCAACATTTCTTGTTTTTTTAAGCTTAAGTTTTTCAGCTGATATTTATATTTATTTTATTTCATTTTATTTCTAATTTTTATATTTTATTTTATTTTATTTTATTGCATTTTATATACAGAAACCGTTTTTAATAGTTCAAGTTTTAGTTAACGATACCAACACTGCTACAGTGCATTCAAAAGTAGTAAGTTATAGTTGTAAATGTGAATTTGCGGTGTGTATTGAATGTGATGCAATAAAAAGACTATACTGCAAGATAATGGTAAGGATATGTAAACAAAATAGACATTATAACTTGAGATATAATCAAATGAATCAGAATCCGATTTAGAATCAAGAGCTTGTAAATCTGAATCAAATTAAAGTCGAATGGTTAAAGGAAACACAACATAAAGATATAACTAATCAGTTATCATTTTACACTAAAGCTTTTCACAAAATATTTATTGTGGGCGCTTCTAAAATTATCCTCAATGATCGCATTTAACTGGCTCGTATCATTCAGCCTAAATTTACTCATGACATAATAGTGTTTTATAGCATTTCTGCTGTAAAACTTCAAGCTGTCTTGCATCCTTGGTATTACTGCTGGTTTTCCATCTCTCAACCCTTCCTTCGGAGGGAGAAAAAAAGAGAATTAAAAAACAGGACCTTATGCCAGGGCTATAAATCCAGAGGCACACCCAGCAGCAGTCTATAAACAGTCAGTCCTATTGGCTGCTGTCCACATTACTGAGGCCTTCAGTGTGGCCTCACAGCAAAGACGCTCCTCTAAACTACTGCTTCTCTCGCTGGGCTTGTGTGTTTATCTCAGCAGAGGAAGAGACAGCTACTGCTCGTGAAGATGGATTGACTGTATGTAATGCTTTGGGAGGTGAGCAAGATTCTGAATGTGTCCTTTGAGAATAACTTAGTTCTGTTTTGTGTTTGTTTCTGTGACTTTAGACTGCACACTGGAAGGAAGCCTTGAACATATTAAAGCTGGTGGTCTCCCGCTCGGCTAGTCTGGTTTCGCCTTTGTCCCCGCAGAGTAACGCATCCACTGTGGATGTCAGGCGTGTTTGGGACACACCCTCCAAAGCCCTCCCTGGAAAGACCCTTGACTTTCACTTTGACATTTCAGAGGTATGACATGCCTTTCTGGCCTTTTGTGTCTGTTTTACTTTCTTTGTTGTCATTAAACAGTACAAGTCAAAAATTTGGACACTGAATTTATGTTTTTCATGATCTATAAAACCCTGAGGCTTATTTATAAATGCCTGAAATCAGATTTGTAGCAAACAAAAACTATCCAGCATGCATGTAAAGTCATTCAGTACTATTTAAAAACCATCCCAGGATGCACCTCATAAAGTTGGTTAAGAGGATGAGTGTGCAGAACTGGAATGTAGGGAAAGGGTGGTGACTTTGAAGGAGCTAAAAATGGTTTTAAACCTTTTTGGTACCTTCCATTTGCGTTATTTTATAATTTGATGATTTAAAATATATATTATATTATATTGTATTGCATTGTATTGTATTATATAAAAAAGTATTATAGTATTTCAATTGATATAGTACTTTTAAATGCACAACACAAGAAAAAATAAGACTGAAAAAACACTAAATATTATTTTTATCATTAGATATTATTTTTATAATTTAAAAATTATTATTATTATTGTAAAAAAGAGAAAGTTGTTCTTTTAAGTGGTGGTGTACATTAAGCTGAGATGGTACATAGTGTGTAAAAGTGAGCCATGCCAGCGAACCACCAAATGCTGGCATCCTCGATGGATTTGTCCACATTTTCCAGGGTGGAGTCATGCATTTTTTGTTGTTTTGTTTTAACATTTGTTTTAAGCAAACTCTGAAGGTTAGGTTTTCTGTTTAAAACTTGATGGAAATATGAACAACCTGGCCTTAAAGTGTGGGAACCAAACAGGGAGCTATTTGTGTAGTGCATGAATTCCAGGAAATGATGTCAGTCCGGCTGTGGCGCTTTGCATCAGCCCTTCTAGAGTCCCATAGCAGACTCCTCTGCCCTCTGTCAAATACCTCTGGAACATGCCTCTAGCAAGTTGGTGAGACAGTAGAAAAAAAACTCAAAACGGACATGCTCAATTCCATCCCAGCAGAAAGGATTTCACAGGAATTAAGGGCAGGTGACCTCAATAATGGAAATCCTGTCATTCCCCCAAGCTTTGTTTGGCTCCCTTTATTGAAGTTCTGTTTTTCAAAGCTCCACTACAAGACACAGAGGAGCAGGACCATTGAGAAAAGGCGTCCACTTTTTCCAGCAGGTCCTAAATAGTTGGTCAGGATCCGAGGCAACTTGACGTTAGGAAAGGGAATGCACTTGAATAAAGACTTTTGGGCCGAGGGCCACAAGCTCATGACATGTAAAGAAAAGATCAGACGGGCTTAAATGGTGCGTGCCATTGTGTGTGTTTTAGACACCGGTGATTGGCCAGCGATATGACGAGCTTCACGGTTCTCCGAGGCAAGATGGGAAGAATGGAGGAGGGGTTACCGTGACACGCAGTACCTCCTCTACATCCTCGGGCTCTTACCAAAACAACCACGTGCTGGTGCCTGTCAGCTGGAAACGACCACAGTCCTCACAGGTGAGCGCTCACAAATACACTCTTTGAAGTTCTGACATTTGCTGAAGAACAGTGCATAAATAAGATATGCATTTATATATCCCCTCTATGTTAATGTTCTTATTTATTATTTTGTTTAATTGAACCTTTTATTAATTTAATTCAATTATTTTCAATGTAATTTTTTATTTACACTTTTAATTTTATTTTCTTTGTTATGTTTATTATTTTTGTGTTATTTCTCTCCAATTTAGAAAAGAACTCGTGAGAAGTTGGTGAATGTATTAACCTTGTGTGGCCAAGAAGTTGGACTCACCAAAAACCCATCTGTAAGTGACATATGTGTTGTCCATCCAGTATTAAATATTTTAAAATATGTCAGAAATCATTCTAAAGCCCTTCCTACAGGTGATTTTCTCATCCTGTGGGGAACTGGACCTGATTGAGCACCAGCCCAGTCTGGTGTCCTCTGAGGACGGCACACGGGACACCGAAAACATGGATGACACCACTTCAGAACAGCAGTTCTGTGTGTTTAGGGACTTTGACTTCCTGGATGTGGAACTGGAAGATGGAGAGGTGAGCAGATCTTTAAAAAACAAAAACAAAATGATCAGCTCCCTCTTGCTTGTGACATTTTTTGACTTCCAAATTACTTGGGTGAACTTTGTTTTGACTGCAGTAAAGTGGACCCTTGGGGAAAGCAGAGCTGAGCATTAAACTTTTGCAAAGTATCAGTCAGAGATAAACTGTTGCACTGTTTGCGCAATACCACTGTAACTTTCTTTAACTCTTTGTAATACATTCTCCTCTCCTTGTTTATGTCTGTGCCATCAAGGAGATGCAGGTAAGCCCAGGAATCCTCTAATGTTGTGCTGTGTGCAGTAGGACAATATGATATTGTGTTTATTCACATTCTGTGCATTGTGATGCATGTCCATAACTCTAACTAGAAACATAATTTTGTTTCAATCATGTTCAAAACACAGTGGCACGTCAAAATGGATTAATCAAAATGTGCACATTTAGATTGGACAGATACAATCAAACAGATACAGATCAAACATATTCATCCTCATTGATGAAATGTGCAAACTTTACCACAGAATTTTTTAATAAACATTTTATTTATTTTTTCAAATTATTTATTTTAAAATCACACAAAAAAGTGACAGTAAAGGCATGATACAAAAGATTTTCTTCTCAAATAAACGCTGTTGTTTTGAACGCTATTAAGCAAGAATATTAAGCAGCCTGACTGTTTTCAACAATGACAATAATAAGAAATTCTTGATCACCAAAACAGCATATTTGAATGATTTCTGAAGTATCATGTGACACTGAAGACTGGACAATTCAGCTTTGCCACAGCAATCACAGGAAAAAATTACATTTTAAAATGTATTAATTTAGAACACCGTTATTTTGAATTGTAGTGCTATTTTACAGTATTACTGTTTTACTGTATTTTTGGTCAAAGCAATGCAGCTTTGGTGAGCATAAGAGAATTCTGTCAAAAATCTTACCGACCCCAAACTTTTGAACTGCATTGTATCTTAGAAAATGTAAGAATTCATTGGTGGGTAGCATTTATAAATGCGGTTTTTATTATATTTCAATATGTCTGTATTTTAATAGCTTGGCCATCTCTAGTCTGCACTCTCTTATGAAATCATTAGTCAGTTCATCGAGGTCACTGTACCAATTTGCTGAAGCTGCAATGCCACAGAGACACTTACTGTAAAAGGGCAGATTCAGCCTTTCAAATAAATTCTCCCTTCTGAATAAATTTCAAGAGTGTTTTTATAAAGCCATCATATTTTAGTTCCAACCTTCAGTGTAACAGTATCAAAGACTTCTTCTTGCTTCTTTACCATTTTGTTTTGGTCAAGTTACAAGAAAGTAATTAAAGTAGTGTAGTAAAAGTAACTTCTTGAGTTCAGTGTTTAAGCGCCCTGTTAGAGGAAAGCTTAAACACTGAACTGAGCTGGATCTGTGAAGGAATGTGGATGTTGACTCTTGACTCTGATGTTAAGGCATGTGGCTGCAGTGATAACTTGAGCCTCTTCCAAAGCAAATGGCCTTCAGGCACTTTATCACTTACTCTACAAGAGCAAGAATGTTTTAGAAATGTGTTCCTGTTCAGTACTGTGTTAATCCTTTATATGGAGAGATATCCTTATATAACAAACTCACAGACTGAGCACCTTCACATATAGAGCTTGCTGTAGCCTGACTGTGTGGATTTTGAAATGTGGTTGTGTGCTATATACCAAATCAGAGGACTCTGTATTTCTCTCACTCTTTCTCTGACAGGGTGAGACAGCTGACAGCTTTAACTGGGGTGCGCGGAGGCGTTCCATTGACAGCCTGGACCAGGCTGAAGCCCAACCAATGGAGGAGGACAGCCAGCTCTCAGGAAGTTCACCAAGCCTGTGTCCAATCGTCCATGATGATTCTGACGAGTCTTCTGAGGAAGAGTCCCTCACAGCCAGCCAGATTCTCTCAGCTTCACAACTAGTAATGTTGAATTTGTTCTTTTTTTTTTTTGTACACTATTTAACTTAATGTGATGTATGAAACAGGATATTCATTGGGAAGTATTGTAGGCAGGATTTTATCCATTAGGATAATTGGATTGTGAAAAGAGGCAGAAAACTTTTGATAAAAGATTAGAAAAACTTTTCTTTTACAGTATGTATTATAAATCTATAAAATCTATTTTATAGAAACATTTAAAAACTATTTTATATCTATAATGTCGAATTAAACTCTATTTCTCATTTCAGAATGTCAGCCTGTCTCCTACTGAGGAACTAAACCCCATGGACTCCCCTCCCATCTCCTTTGACAACACTCAAGCTGACCCAATTCCTCTTTCCACCCCAACGCCCAGCTTTGAGATCTCAGCACCCGAGGGCTCGAACCATCGGGTGAATAAGAGCTTCAAAATGGCTGATCTTTGGGGGCAGACACATTCCTCCTCATACCGCACTCCTGTTCTGGAGTTTTTCCATTAACACGGTTGAAAAAGAAATCTCTTTCTGTGCTTGCTTTACATGTCTGGCTCTGCTTTTAGCATGGGTAGATTTTCGGAGGTAGTTTGCTGATAGTATTTTTCTCTGACATGCTTTTTTTTAGGATGGGGCATTAGATTAATTTGCAAAGCGGCATGGAATTGCAAGTAATCCTTGCTCTTCAAAAGCTCGCCATTTCTATCTGCTAACCGCTTTTTGTCTGTGAGGCCTACCACTGCCTACCACAGTCTCAGAAAGAGGCTCTGGATGAGCCACTAGGGCAATGTGTATGGCTTCTCTGTGGCTGGCAAAGCTGTAACATCACTCACATGCTAAATGCTAGGGGTGCAAATAAAGAGAGTGTACCCATTGCCTGTGGCCGTAAACATGAGACCAGACCAATCAGATTTTGGTCCTCCCAATTTTTTAAAGGTCTCTTAATATATCTGAATTTGACATTATTCAAAATAAAAAAAAATTAAAAAATGTAAATGATTAAAAAAAGCACTCAAAAGAGAAACGATTCTCAGCATGAAGAGTTGTAATTTTGAAAGGTTAGTGAATATTTATTTATAAATATATATTATAAATATTTTATTAAATAAATTACAGAGTTGGTTGACCAATATGTTTATTTTATTATTTTATTTTATTTTTTCATTAGCCACCCTGTCCTCTGTCTAAATATCAGTATATATAAAATATATTTTAAATGATAATAAATGCAATAATTAAATCTGTGTATAAATTAAAATGTTAGATACAATTTAAAAGTATTTGATGACAGAAAATGTTTAGCAGTTAGTAAATTATGGAACTGACATTTGGGTGAATCACTTCTGTATTTTAGCCACAAAAAGACAATCGTCAGATTAATCAGTCTGACCAGTCAGTCTGTCACTAATGTCATTTTACTGCTCAGAATGAGAAAGTCAGCCACATAATCTGATCTTTTCTTAATAATATTTTTTCAGAATAAATTTTTTCGTAGCCACAGCTGTTTCCATTGTATGACGAATATGTAATGCATTTGCATTGGCGATAAATACTTAACAAGCTTTTCTTGTGAATCCTGTCCAAAACTAGGCTGAGGATTCGGCTGAAGAAGAAGAAGCCATTGTTAATGAGGACGATATCTCACTCTGCATTTGCGAGTCGCCGCCTGCCTTCAGTAGTTCTGACATTCTAACAGCAGGCACATCCCAGAGGGAAAACAACGTCTTTACTGACAACGAGACATGTTGTGTACCCAGGTACTGCATTCACACTCTCAACATACATGATTCTGTTTCAGTTTTAGTAGAAAAGTCTGGAAAAGTCAGACTTTTCTCAAGTTTCTCATAGCTGATGTTTGAAACTTTTTTTCCCTCACCACATAATTCTATCCCTCACTTCCTCCAGTGGGTTTGGAGACCAGCAGAGCTCTGTGGCACAGGCAGAGGAGGAAAAGGAAGAGCTGTTGCTAGAGTCTCGTTCCTCCCCTCCGCCTTCTCCCTTTTTCTCCGCCATCCTGGCCGCTTTCCAGCCGACTGTGTGCGATGATGCTGAGGAGGCTTGGCGCGATCATCTCAGCCAGTTGGTGGCTGACTCGGATGGTTCCTGTGCAGTTTACACCTTCCAAGTCTTCTCCTCACTCTTTCAGGTAACTAATAGAGGTACAGTAGGTTGCCACTGGTCCTTATTATGTCAATTTTTGCCAAGCAGCTTCAATAAAGGTCTATCTTATCTATCAATAAAGACCTATCTTAATGATAAAAAAGAAGTGAAATTAATCAACGGACACTTTTCTAACATTCTAATTGTCGCAGGCTGTGTTGTTAATGTCAAATGATGCTGATTTTATTCATTATCTTGGGTTTTCTTTGGTTCATCACACAAAGCTGACAACTCAGTAGTGCCAAAGTTTTAGAAGACATGCCACGTCTTTGATTATATTCTATTGGCACTGACAACATGCTGGTCTGGGACAGATTAAATAGAATGTTTCTGACCTTCAGAGTATACAGGCCAAGTTCTGCACCTTGACTTGTGACGCTGCTGGTTACCTTGGCGACGGCCTTCGTGGAATTGGAGCGAAGTTTGTAAGGTCATCCCAGATGCTGACATCCTGCTCCGAATGTCCCACGTTGTTTGTCGATGCAGACACTGTGAGTTTCTTGTTTGAATATGAATGATATCAATGCTATATCCAGAACTCAAATCAGTACCAGCCTTAGTGTTCTGTTCAATTTCTTCCTCACTGTGTATGTGTGCAAGCCATTTTGAAATGTACTTATAAAATGTATCTCTTAAATATGCGTTTCAGATTGTGTCTTACGGGCTCTTGGAGAAGATGAAGTTTAGTGTGTTAGAGCTGCAGGAGTATCTAGAGACCTACAACAACAAAAAGGAGGCAGTCATATCAGTATGTGCAATAATGCATTATTTTACAAAACAGTAAATGTGCAATTTTCCTTTAAATTATTTTATTTAGAAAATCTCTAGTATGTTATGTGTGTATACAAACATAATAAATTTTCTGACTCCAAGCTTTTGAACCGTAGGGAATAAGAATATACAGTGGGTACGGAAAGTATTCAGACCCCCTTCAATTTTTCACTCTTTGTTATATTGCAGCCATTTGCTAAAATCATTTAAGTTAATTTTTTTTCCTCATTAATGTACACACAGCACCCCATATTGACAGAAAAACACAGAATTGTTGACATTTTTGCAGATTTATTAAAAAAGAAAAACTGAAATATCACATGGTCCTAAGTATTCAGACCCTTTGCTGTAAAATTGAAGTGGGTCTGAATACTTTCCGTACCCACTGTATATATGAATATATGCAGTATACTGTTTATATACAATTTCATCATAGAAGTTGTAAATAAAAAGCTTAAATAAAAAGCACTACAGCTTGTTCTATGTAACTTACTGTTGCCTGTGACTCTTTCAGTGGCTACGCAACTGCAAGGCCAGTTTCCCCAAATTCACTGGAGATGGAGTGATCACCCATCAGCCTGCTGAAATGGAAGAGAAGGTATGACACCTCTGCTTTTTAACATAACAGTTAGATGGGCAGCAATTCCAAAGAAAACTAATAAAGGAACGTCATTATTGTTTAAGTACATGATCTAGATCTCAACATTTTGCAAACTGGAACTTTAACAGTTCGGCTGTCTAATACTTTGACACAACCCTAAAAGTACAGTGTGGTGGTGTACCACAAATAATGCATGAGTTTCTGTCTTTCTTTAATTGTCCACTGACTGATGCCACTGTAATGTCTGTTGCGTCCTGAGATATGAGTGAAACTAGTTGACCAACATGTGTTTCAGATTCCATTTCAATGTACTTCTTTATATTTTCTGCATTTCAATTGTTCTGTGATAGCTCTGTGAGTGACATCTCTTTTCTATCTGTCTGCTCTATAACTTTAAGCCTGTTTCAAACACAAGCTGTGTTACTTCACAACAGCGCCCTCTATTCTTATGTTTAGTGTGAGGGGTCTTTCTCTGCTGGGCTTTGAAGAAGTTTAAAGAAACCCTGAAAAAGTTTCTTTCCTGACTCTAAAATGTAATCTAACATATACCTGCTTTCAACCCTTCAAGATCCCTTCAAGCCGTAATCAGTTAAAGCAATAAAAAAGGCATATGGGTAGTGATTGCATCTTGTTTTTTTTTTTTTACCCAGCACAGTCCCCATGCAAAAATAAAAATAAGAGGGCATATTTGTGACCCTTTTTCTTTCTCTGCTTGTCTATTCACTTTTTCTGCTCATGCATGATGGAGCCATTGCTCATGCTTTATATTGCTTGTGCCACTGTTGGCTGCATGTATTCACACTATACTCAAAACTTTCTTCTCACTTCTCACCTTTTGTCTTGCAATGCCTGCTTTATAGCAAATGGAATCTCTTGCAGTAAGTTTTATAAAAATATTTTTGGCCTCATGTCCCATTTCCCTTGTTCTAAATGCAGATATTGTCAAATTTTTTCACAGGCCTCATATTTTTTTCAAATGAAAACACTATTTTGTTAACACGCTTGTATCCTTGTTTGGTTTTCTGCAACTGTTGTGTAGTAACTTCTTTCATATATATTAAGAAGATTTAAAGAACTTTTAAATGAGATTGTGGTGTTAATTTTATTTATGTTTTGTTTACAGCAACTGGAGCTTTGTCAAAGACTCTACAAACTCCACTTTCAACTGCTGCTGCTTTTTCAGTCTTACTGTAAACTTATTGGCCAAGTTCACACTATAAACTCTGTACCAGAGGTATGTTGACATCAGTGTCTCATCATCTGAGTTTGATTAAGACATTTTTTTACTGGAATAGAAAAAGTCTAGCTCGCAAATCTTGCTTATTTAGTATGGAGGCCTGAACATGACATGCACAGAATAAAAAGAGATTATGGCCACGAATTAAGAATTTGTTCCCACAGCTTATTCATTAATTTGCTTGTTTTGGTTAAATTATGGCCACATTGTGCTAATTCATTCCCTTGTTTTAAGGTGTGATCACATTAGCGCTATTTTAGTTACATTTTGTGGGCCAAAAAGGTGCACTGTCAATAATGTTGCAATGTATGAAGCTCTGCTCACACAGAAGTCACTTTCAAACCAATCAGCTTTCTGTTGGTCAGCATGGTGACTCCGCCTGGCCTACTTAAACATGAACGAAATCTTTGTGGGCAACTTTTTCGCACTCACGCAAAACTGCTAAATGAGCAGATTCCAACTCCTGTACTTATGGTACCGCCACTGTATCTTTTTGGAAGGGTTCAGTTTTTCTCAGAAAATAATTCATATGATACATGTATGTTCACATATAAATGTTCTCCCTTTTAGCTGCAGAACATATCCAGAGAGTTGAGTGAGTTGAGAAGTAACCTGAGGGCAGCAGCAGCCTCAGTGGCCAATGAGTCCGCAGCTGAGCCAAGAGAACCCACCACTGAATCCCCCTTCAGCTCCTCTGAGGCTGCTGTGCAGGCCATTCTAGAGAGCCTGAAAACCAACGAGTTCTCCAGAGCCATCCGTTACATACAGGAATGCAGGTAAACTTCCCACCCAGAGAAATGACTGCAGCTTATTGTTTTATAATGGAATTTAAAGGGATAGTCCACACAAAAATTAAACCTCTGTTATTATTTACTCAAAAACTGTATTCACATCTTTCTGTGGAACACAAAAGAAGATATTTTGAAGAATGTTAGTAGCCAAACAGTTTTGGTTCCCATTGACTTCCATTGTATGGACAAAAAAGTCATACAGTTGAAGTCAATGGGAAACTAAACTGTTTGGTTCTTCCAAAATATCTTCTTTTGTGTTCTGTAGAAGGAAGAAATCCATAGAAGTTTGGAACGACATGAGGGTGAGTAAATAATGACAGAATTTGAATTTTTGGGTGGACTATTCCTTGACATTTATTCCTTCGATTTATTGATAACCTCTTCAGGAATAGAAAATGAATGAGTAATATGCAGTGCAGTAACAGTGGAGTAATATGCAGTGCTTTGTATTTTAATTATGTGAAATAATTATAATCACTTTGTTTCAGGAAAATGTGGCCAAGTGACATCTTCGGCAGCAGCTCCGAGAATGAGATTCAGACTCTACTCAACATCTATTTCCGGCACCAAACTCTGGGTCAGACAGGAACCTTTGCCCTGGTCGGTTCAAAACAAGACCTATCTGAGATATGCAACCGACTCACTGAGCTCAACTGCGAGATCCGAGACATGATTCGATGGGCACAGGGCTACCGGGCCATCACTGCCTTCCTTCCTGACTCCAGCGTGACCGGCATCAGCCTTTGAGTTGAACTTTAGGCCGGCATTGGCCTTCTTTCCACCACTCCTGTCTGAAGTTGCTGCTGCCTTCACTGTTCTTCCCTAGTGCACTCATTACTGTCCTGCCTCTGCTTACCTTAAGAGCATCAAGGATGTACAGCTAATATAGCTTGGAAAAATGCAACAGGGGACAGAAAAAGAAGTTGAATCCTTGGCTTCTTTGCACTACTATGTATGTAAGGGGCCGCCCCTGCCTCTGAAATGGGGCCTCTATCACTGCAGGCATCAAAGGTATACCAAAGCTCCATGAATGGCTCCTCCTGCCCACGTCTACCATTATACATGTAACGGGAAAATGTGCAATGCCTCACACCAAGTGAAACTTTTCATCTTAGAGAGAATGTTTTAAAATTTCAGTGCTCTCAGCTACTTGATGATACATAAATGTTCTATTCTTGCTTTTTTATTTCAAATAAAAACGGAAAGCTGTTGATAATGTGGCTTTTTAAAAAAATGTTTAAAAAGATCAGACTTTTCACAGTGCGCACCCATGCCTTGGCTTTTATCTGTACAGACAGAATGTCTCGAACACAATGCAATGCTATAGTCAGAGAGACCTGGATGCATAAAGGGGTCATCCAGCACTTATTTATGAATGGGGGTTTGGTTTTACTAATGTGTTTCTACTGTTTAGTTGCTCCTAGAAGGTTTATTTATATTCTTAAAAGGAAGATCACGTAAAATAGTATAGTTTTTTAGGATGGAATTATGTCTATTCTGTCTATTGAAATGGCCAAGCATTCAAAGGTATGTACAATAAGACTAAATAGATATATTTATGGAATAAGAAATTATTTTAAATGAAAGATTTGTACATAGTAGGAGTGTAGCCCAGACTTGTAAGATTTTATTTTTATGGTTTTATTTTGCTGTCTGCTGTATAAAAAGTGTGCATGCAATAAATAGATCAATAAATAATATTAATGAAAAAGTCTGCTTAGTCAGTGGGTTTTTTATATGGATACTTATGTCTATGTGCTTAAGTAGATTTAGATATGTAATGAGAATGATTTTAGGCTGCACGTTTGTTTTTGTTTGTTGTTATTTTTATTTTAGAACTAAATTATACAATTTAAAGGGGTCATATGATGCTTTTTTAAAGATCATTATTTTGTGTATTTGGTGTATCAGAATATGTTGACATGCTTTAATGTTCAAAAAACACATTATTTTTCAAATACTGTACATTATTGTAGATCCTATATGCCCCGCCTCTCTCAAACGCTTCGTTTTCTACAAAGTCCCTCCTTCCGACAAGCGCAGTCTGCTCTGATTGGCCAGCTGACCCAGTGCATTGTGATTGGCCGAACACCGCAAGCACTCGTCGGAAATGTAACGCCCCTTACGATAATCGCGAGCTTCATCTTTCAAAATACATGTAAAGACAGAGCCCGAAAGGGGAACAGAGTCACGTGACAGACAGTGATGAAGCTGGTATGTGTTTGCAGTACACAAGCCACGATTAAGACAGCTGACTCCACTGTGATGTGACCCCCTCTCTCTCTCTCGCTCTCTCTCGCTCTCATGCATTGCTGTTCTGTTGTAAGTAATCTTAAAGATTCCTAAATGCATCTACTTTCGGAAGGCCAAATAAAGTGCTTTTGCTTTC